GGGAGGAGGCAGTAGTGTGGAGTGGGGAGGTGGAGGAGGCAGGAGTGGGGAAGGTGATGGAGGAGGCAGGAGTAAGGAGGAGTGAGGTAGGGGTGGCGGCACTAACAGTACTAACGGTACCTCGTGTGTGTCAGTAGTCATCATCGTTGCTCACCCCAAGCCCGGCACCACAGCCACACACACACACACACTTAACTTACACCATATATCTCATATCGTCTTTCCCACCGCTGCCACATACACTCACACACGCGCCAACGCACACACGTCTCGTCTCTACCACTTCCAACATTATAATGAACTTCAATGTAAACTCAGTCATCAACACCACCATCTACAGTTTCAGAGCAATTAGAATTTTTAGTTTTTTTTAATTAATTCACAATGAGAATTCAGAGTGCAATCCTTTATGAATAAACTCAGTCCCTGGTCCTTCAAGGCTACGCCACTGTAGTCCATGTTGCTGAGATTTCAACGCTGGGCTAAATACCGATCTTAGGTATGACTGCCTCAGCGAGCATTGAAGGCGGCCTAAGGGGTGAAGGCGTGGAAAGATGACAGAGATGGGAGAGGAGAAAGTGATGCTGACTACTAAAACGTGTCTAAGAAGGAATATTAGCATTAGTGAAGGAGAAGTGTGTGTGTGTGTGTGTGTGTGTTGTTAACCTTGGCGAATCACCTAAACAAACCATCCAATTCAGCATCGGGGGAACTGTAAGTGATATTCCCCCATAGTACACGACCATGTGAGCTCAGGTGACCATCCGCGACGGAACATCTGCTAACACAACCAAGTAATGAGGAATCCCAGTAATGTATTAACGGAATGCTGACCCCCCCCCCCCCTTTACTTTCTCAGTCATCTTGGTGAGAGCACGTGGCCGGAGCGTGACGACCAGGGGGTGGGTGACTTCCCTGGTTCCCACGGTAAACTCTCAGCTCCCATGGTAACCTCCACCATAGGTTAGGTACTCCTCAGGGCCTTCCAAGTCCTGTTGCTTTCTTTTGTACTAGACTTAGTGCTCGTGGCCATAGTACTCCCATAGTACTCGCTAACTCTTTACCCTAACCTTACACACCTGGTTCCTACCTGCCTTACCTTACACCTGGTCCCTACCTGCCTTACGCACCTGGTCCTACCTGCCTACGCACCTGTCCCTACCTGCCTTACGCACCTGGTCCCTACCTGCCTTACGCACCTGGTCCCTACCTGCCTTACGCACCTGGTCCCTACCTGCCTTACGCACCTGGTCCCTACCTGCCTTACGCACCTGGTCCCTACCTGCCTTACGCACCTGGTCCCTACCTGCCTTACGCACCTGGTCCCTACCTGCCTTACGCACCTGGTCCCTACTTACGTTAAA